GGCAAATATATCTCTGGGATATATTAACAGCATACTCATACTTTCAGTGTCTGGTGAGATGACACTATTGACACCAGTTAGTTCCCATTTTTTGCTCTATTTTTCTCTATTTAAGACCAGTCTTTGGTCAAACTTTGCCATCCCTTCCCCTCCCTTACATATAGAGTTCCTGCTGCCAATAGAAGTTCAGTGCAGTCTGGAACAATTGTCTTGGAATTAGTTGTGCACCAGGTAGTAGTTCTGGAAGGTGTTTGTGTAATAACAAGTAGGTAGCCATATTTAGTTGCGTGTTGATAGTCAACTTGGGTTCTTAGTGCAGTTCAACAGCAAAGCATTGAACTACAGATAGATACATTTACTAGAACTGCACTTAATTTATATTGAAAAGGTGCCAGAAGTGGGAGTGAAAAAATAGATGGCAAGGGAAGCAGCTGGGCTGACAGAAGGGTTTGCACCCCACTTGTGTACAATACAATTGTATACTGGGATTGATGTGAGGATTGTCTTCAAAAATATTTGAAAAAGGGTAAATTGGAAATATTTTAATACCAAAAGAAATCTGACAGCTATTCCTTCTTCTTTTCCTTTGTCTTTCTATCTTTACATTTTTAGGATCTTCTTACCTTTGGTTTGGTCAGTTTTGGCTAATTACCTCTGCCACTTTCTAACATCCAAACTCATTTTTCAGGTTTGAGACTGACAAGATGTATATTTTCTTGTGGGATGGATTTTCAGCATCAGATCCTTAGATACTTGCATAATATCGAATGGAAGTTAGGAGACAGTGTAAAGTTCCCACTTGTGCTGCCCTGATCTTTGTGCTTCACTGTGCATGCTTTCCACTATGCACTGGGTTAGACCCACCTAAGGACTGCTCTAAGTTACGCTGGCCTGTAAAGGCCATAAGGAACTGAAGGCCAAACCCAGGAGAAAGGCATAACAGTGATTTCCCAGTCATGGCCCCTTTTCAGTAATCACACTGCTCTTCTCTGCTAAGTTTACAGCAAGGAGATCAGTGCGGAATATAAGGCCCTGTGCTGACTCTATGCTGCTACAGGATCACCCTTGCAATTGGGGTGATCCTCCCTGAACCACTTACTCAGCTTTTGCATCCAAAGTATGACAGCAGGACAGCACAAAGTGACCACAGCCCACCTGAGGATCTGATCCTTTATTATCCCTCTTACTCCTCTATTTCTGTTTTATTGTTCTTTTCCTCTTCCATTTTATCCATCTTCTATTTTTTCTGGTTATATCTGTTAACCCTTGTTTCTTTATTTTATTTATTTCTTCTCTACTCTCCCATAATCTCGGCCCTTTCCCCCCCTCTTTATTGTTGTTTTCTTCTTCCACCTGTGTAGACGCTTTCCTTCCCTTTGTACCTGAGCTATCTCTCTCCCTTCCTCCCCCATAACAATGCTGTATTTCCCTTCCCTTTTCTTTGCACAAACTATCACTTTTTTTTACCCATTGTCTCTGACTTATATCCTATCTGTGATTCCCTGTTGTCACTCCCATATATGACTCCTTTCAGACAGCTTATATTCTGCTGAGCTCTTTTGAAGCACTAAAACATCTTCAATTACCATAGCTCCACCTAGGGAGGCAACATAGCACTTCTGTCTACTGCAGAACCAATTCAGCAGCATATGGGGATGCATTAGAGGGTCTGGCAGAGTAATTTGGATGATAGGTACAAATGGCATCTCATAAATGTTGGCATCCTGGTAACGATCCTGGTTACCCAGCACAGACTTTTTTTTAACCTCACCAAGTTTCCATATATCATGTATGTGCACCACTATAGAGAACAAAGTTCTTAGTATGTGTTATCACTGACCCTTGAAAAAAGGTTGGTTCCAAAAGTCTATTTTGTACTGTAGAATAAAAATACTAACTTAGATTACTTATTCTGGTAAATTAGTTTTGAGCAGTCAGATTTGTTCTTTAGTAGATGGTTTGATAGTTTTGGCTCTTATTGCTAAAGTACAAATGAATTTGAAATAACGATGTGTTTTATAAAGCACTTGAACTTGGATAGAATTGAGAACTTCATGGGATGCTCTCTACACATTAATGTCAGGAAAATGTTAGAAAGAGTACATAAATATATATCATAGTCCTTGGAACATATCTAATTCTATTCTTTTAGTGGAAAAGACAGGAAAGATTTTAAATTACATGAGCACTAATATTACAGAAAATCGTTTTAAGTAAGTTGATTTCAAATAACAGAGGACTGGATCTCTCCAGACAGTAAACCTTGTGGGACAAAGCTAAGGGAAAATAAACTCTGCAAGGATCACCTTGGCCACTTTGTCTTTAATCATGCCATCTGGGAGGGTGAGGTTTGTGTGCACTTGTAGAACTGGTGAGGGGACACTGTGCATCTACCCGGCTCCACCTATACCTAACACTAGTCCAATCACAAGGGGGGAAAAGATATCCATGAAGATCTTGGGGGCACAATCTGATCCAGAATAGTTAATTATTAGTCAGTGATTTAAAATCTTTTTTAAATGTAACTGCAATTATAGTATTAATTTTAAAATCTAATTTTATTTGATTAGAGAAACAAATCTAATAACTGAGAATTTACAATACGTCTCTTCCAAAAGTATGAGTATGAAATTACTTATGGGTCCAAATGTTTAAAAGAGCTCATCTCCTATTTAGGCACCTAAATGGCATGGCCAGATTTTCAAAAGTGCACGTATCCAGTGGTTCTGATTGAGAACAGTGGCTGTGAGTATGGAGCCCACACACTGCTTCATTCTACAGCAACCTCACATGCAGAATTCCCTTAAAATCAAACAGGTAGGCTAGTCCATATAGAAAAATGACGTTTCACCTCTCCATGCCAATAATATTTATCATTTTATAATACTTTTTGTATTCAAACATTTAACAAACATTGGGCTAGGTAGTTTCCCTCCACAGATAAAGGTGATGATCCGTGTGTGAATGATCCTCTGTGCATGGATCAAAGGGAGTACGATCTGGCCTGTTAATTACATTGCAATGATTTTAAATGTTTTCATTTGATCTTGATCATCTTTCCTTATAAGCTGGCAGTCTTCTTTGCAACATGAACATAGATATTCAGCCTCTTCTGATCCTTGATCTTATACAGATAGTTCAAGGTGTCACAATGTCAGCTGAATAGGCAAGGCAAATATCAAAAAGTGCAAATAAAAATTATCAACAAAGTTTAAGAAACATTTGATCTTACTGCTCTTTGTTTGAATTACCTAATCATAAGATCTTTAGAAAAGCCAACTCTGATTCTGGATTTAATTTTAAGCATGTTGGCATATGGTTGCGTTTTAAATCCAGCTTCAATAGAGTAGCTAAACACAAACAATGTTAGTGGGGTTTCATTTTTTGCTTTCAAAACTTGAACTAACCTAGGCCAGGTCTGCTCTAGAAACTTTTGCCAGTATAGTAATGTTGGTTAAGGGTGTGATTTTTTTTTTAAAAAAAACATTTCTATACTGGCAAACGCCCTACTGTAAATGCAGCTCAAGTGTCTGTAGCGGAAAATTGAGCTTTTAACTCCATTGGAAACTGCTTTGAATCTATCTGAGGTTAATGATGATCATCTAACAGCTGCTTTTTAGTGTAATTATTTGGTGATCTCTGTCCATTTCCTATAGCAGACAAGTACTCATATAATATTAACTGGCAAATTTGTTGCCAGACTGAAGAGCGAGGGCAAGAATTAAAATAGAGACACTGAACTATTCATGTGGCAATAGTTTATTGAACTATTGCTTTACATCTGTGGATAGAGGATTTAAATCTCTAGTGTCATGAGGTTTCATTGTTATTGGCTAGACTTTCTGGACCATTTCCCCAGGTGGTGTAAATTGGTGTAGCTCCATAGAACTCAGTGCTGATTTATACCAACTGAGGATGTAGCCCAATATCTACATCCTTACTATATCTGCTGTAACTCTGGGAATACTATCAAACTTAATTGGCGGGAGTATGTGGCAAAAGATTTTTTACATTTTTGGGTTGTTCCCTATGAGACTTCATTTGTAAGAATTGCTGCAGGCTGTCATTTTTGTCTGCCATCCAGGGCATGTTGGCAAGAGTGTTGTGTACTAGACTTTGTGTCTGGTCATAGAAAAAAACCAATGCAGCTCAGCCAGACCATTTTGTTATTCCTTTAGAATTAAAAGCATATGAAACAGATGCAGCTTAATAAGTTTTTTTTATAAATAACATCAACTTAAATAACTTAGAACAATAAAGTTCAAATATAACTTAAAATAAAGTTTAATGCTGTAACAAGAGAAAAAGCATGAATAACGGTGGAAAAACAATATTAAAAGCCATATGCCCTAACAAGAATTATACAAAAGATAGGTTATGTTACATAAAAAACCTTAAGATGTCTGAATTTTTACTTCGTCGTTATATAAAATGTTATTTTGTGGAAAGTGAGATGAAGTACATTTTTATTTATTCCCTATTCCTATTATTTTACATACACTATTTTGAAACATCTTTTAGAGCAGCATTAGGTATTTGTTCTTGTTAATACATTTGACATTTTGTAGTGGTGCAACCTTAATTTTCCAAACAAGCTTTTTTAATCGGAATATGACAGTAACAAATTTACAAGATTTAAGGTTTTTTTCTGATCCTAGTTTATGTATAGTTTATAAGTTTCTCTGGGAACTATTTAAAATACTGCTCAATCTCCATGTTTAGTATTGACTTGATAATCTGACAAATCATTCCAGCAGCCTTAAAGTCCGACATATTTTACATAACATTATCATCTGCTTTATTATTATTATAGCAGCCAAGTTTAATAAGCAGATAGGTTTTTTAAATAAAATATCATCAGATAATCAAGTCATGACTTACTCTTAAGGGTAAATTAATTTAAGAAACTACCCAGTTACTATTACTAACATAATGATTGTACAACTCTTTACAATTTTTTACAACTTTTAGTTACTAAATCTGATTTTGTGTATATTTTCAAATCTTTTTAATGAAGTCTCTTTAAAATAAACATAAATGCGCAAGTCCAGCTTGTTCAGTTTTTCAGTAGTATTCCAGCCTCTCTTGATTACTTGTTCAGTCTTCTTAAAAATAATCTTCCTGCTGGAACTAGTTCTCTATAGATCATATATGATTAGGATATTCCCAAAGGAAGAAAGTGGGATGCTTTGTGTTCTTTCTTTGTTTTTTTACCTTTCATAGGGACACCTTTGTGGTTTAATGTCACAAACATCTCTTTCCCTTTGTTTGTCCAGTTTGCTGAAGCATAAGTATTGTAATGGTTTTCTTCAATCAGTTCTCTGAAGTTGCAGTCCTCATTGCATACTTTCTGTTAAGAGTGAATGATAGCATAGCATAAAATTAGCACTTTTGTTCTTTAAATACACAATGGGAGTGAGGAAGTTGGGGGAAGAACATATACCAAATAATAAATACTGTTTGTTATTAAAATACTCAATAAATTACTGAGTCTCTTCAGTCTTAACTAACATATTTTATGTTTTAGCTTTGAATATCCTCCCTTAGCAGCTGAAATATTTAACAAGAGGAGGATTTTTACTAAAACAAGATTAGGGATCTAATCTTTAGTTTCTATAACCAGGCATAAAAATCCACCATTGCCATAGGATAAAGATGCAATACATTTCCACTTACTAGCAGTGATGTACACAAACTGCACAGATGTTATGTAAAAATCAGCAGAAAATGTACACAAGTATATATTTCCATAGTATAAGTTCTTTGCAGTATTATCAGTACCTTTCCATAGAGTTTTCCAGACTTGTTCATTGCTAGAAAGTATTCACTTTCCACACCTTTGATTGCCACTACTCCAACTGCCACTGTTCTTATTTCCAGAATACCTGCAAAGAAACACATTGAGGTCTGTAAACTTTTCATTTGCTTCTTCAGTTTGTCTTAATGATTCTACAATACTTCTGGTTTTATTTAAAATCCTAAACTGGTGAGAGTGGTTATTAAAATAAAAAGTTAATGTAGTTACACATATGTAGTGCAGACAAGAATCAATCATGGTTTTCTCTTTAAAAAAATCTCCTATATATGTATACTCACACCCACTCACAACTAATTCTGCATGTCAATTTCTAGTGCTATGTTTCCCACTCACCATATTATTTTAAACTGTACTTGCATTTTTTAAGAATCAGACTGTTTTCTTAAAATTTCTCTGGTTCAGGTTTCCAGTTGAAAGAAATATACATGTTTTAGCCAAGATTCACAGAATTTTTAAAGATCACGTTTAAAAGATTTGTGAGAATTTTACCGGTGTCACCTCCTTGAAGAAGCATAAACCTTAGAACTTGCAAATGATGGAAAACAGACCACAGTGTCTTAAGGAAGATAAAGTACCTGCTTGACCTTTACAGGCTTTGAAAACTGTCAGGAACTGAAAAGATATCTGCATTTGAAGAGAAATAATCAAAAGCTACAGTACTATCAAAACTTTCTTATTCAAATATCTTTAACCTAGAAAATTTGGAGTTGCCTTAATTTTGTGTTGACTGGTAGATGCTATTAACAAATATCCACAGTTACTAGTATAACACAAAATATTCTTTGTTGATCAAAAATATGGAATTAAGAGTACACTGTGTAGTTTTCAGATTTAAGTATTTTAATAGTTTAAAGAATACAGTAATTTTGAGTTTGGGCCACACCTTTTCTGATATGAGGCCATCCTCAGAACAGTTGCTACCTAGCTTCCTCTTCTGACTTTCTTTCTACAGAGGGGTCTTTCTAGCTCAGCCAATTCCATTCAGAACCCAGTACCTAACCAAAGTGTGCTAGGCAAGAGAGAGAGGGGATTAAGGGTGTAACCTTACATCTTTGACAGGCAGCATTTTACCCAAGTTAACCACCTCTTTCCCAAAGATCATTCTTGATTGATGGTACAGCATCCCCATTCCTCTCCACTTATGTATCAGGAATGTGCAGTGGCAGTATTATCCATCATCACTACAGTAATTCAGGAGTGTTAATGTCACATTGTCCTCACCATAGTGTGAGTTTTTCACCTGAAGGATGCAGACCTCCCTCCCAAGCAAGACTTCCATTTAATTTTATCTTTGTTTACAAATTTATGCTCATTTTTTGTGAAGTGGGAGGGGGGAGTGTGTGGGCTGTGGTTTTTGGTTTGTTAATTTTTTATAATCTGGTGTCATCTGTGCTACTGTATCTCCCTGTTATATGCCCTTTTCTACATTCTCTTGCCCTTCTACTCTTTACCCTTCCCTTTTGCTTCTTTAGTCTGTTGCCTCCTACTCACTTTGCTTCCATGCCATCCCCAGCCTATATACTTTCTTCCTTTTGTTTTTCCTACCACCAGATCTAATGCCTCTTCCCTTACTCTGTGCTTCTCTGTTCTTTTATCTGTTCTCTGATACTTCTCTACTCCACTGTAGAATCTACCAAACTTCAAATAAAATTTTCAAGTTTTTAACAAGTCTCACTCTGCGTGCAAGCATTGCAAAAAGGATTTGAGCCAAATAACTTCAAAGTGAAGCTCACCAAAAATTGTATTAACTTTCACTTTAAATTTCATGGTTGTGAAACCCGAGTGGAGCATTCAAACCAGATGATTGGCCTGCAACTAACCAATTAAATATATGTTTGACATTTCTCATCTGTGTGGAAAGAAAATGAGTTAAGGATTTATAATGACTTCACAGAACAGAGTAGACATGCCTGAGTAGACTGCTATTGATGGCTAAGATAGTGTACCTGTTGAAAAGCAGGGAGGCGGGCGGGCACAAGCCCGCCCATGTCTGAAGGCCCCTCCCCCAGCCTAAGGGGAGGAGCTACTGAACCCAGGATTCAAATAATTACTGGGGACAACTGATGAATAACAGGGTCAGGAGTGAGGGTCATAGGTACAAAACCAGGGATCCACAGGCTGTGTCAAAGAGCAGCATATAGTGAGAAACAATATTACTTTTAAAAGGGAAGATGCTAAAATCTGTATTCTAAGAAAATGATACTGTATTAAACTTGGAATTTCTGAATTTGTAATTTTTAGCCCATTATTTCTTAATTTAGTGATGAAATCCACCATTATATTGATTTGTTTTGGGGTTGTTGTTTTTTTGACACATGCCAAACTCATACTTGTATGTTGTCTGTCAGCCTTCAAGTAAATTGGGGTATGCCACAGTCTTGCCTGGAATACCGAGAGAATAGTCAAAGAATCAGGAATCGGAATTATATGACCAAACAAATAATCATAACATCTCTAAATCCTACCCTGGAATGTGTGTGCATGACTCCCATTGAAGTCACTGGGAGTTGCATTCAGGTATCCAAGGGCAGAATTTGGCATTACTTGTTTGGTTCCTGAATTATGTATAGTTATTGGGGATGCTGAGCCATTTTATACAGCCTACCTTGCCAGAATTGAAGGACTTTGTGGAATAAAACCCTAGCTATTATAATTATACTCTATAAATGTGTAAAAAGATAGTATCAGTTGCAGGTTATATTAATAAATTAATAAATGTGGTTTTTGCTTCTTATTTCCTGAAAATCCTCTTTTTGTAAATAAAAATCAATACTTTTACTATGCTTGAGGAAAAAGAGATAAATGAGGGTTCTTATTTTAAAAATATATTAAGCACTCTTTGGCTTATTATTACATGGTTCTCGTAGCTTATATAATAAATAATTAGGATCCTATCTCAGAAATCTTTGACCCTCTGATCCACAGAGACTGTGGAATGCCAGGGACATTATTAAGTCTTTGAATGTCACTTTTTTGAAGACGTTCTGCTCCTGTGTGATGGTGCCCTAGACGGTAGACTTTACATGCACTATCTAATATTACATCACAAGGTGCTGGGAAGAATGAAGTATCTTTATTGCCAGTAGAAGACTGTGATAAGTGATTTTCCCAAAGCCACAGAGGGAGTTAGTGTCAGAGTAGGACTGGATCTCAGGAGTTCCTGATTCTCAGTCCTATGCTCAGAACATGCCTCCCTCTCAAGATTAACTCACATATAATGTAACAGAGTGCTCTCCCTTTAAGAGCTAGGAGGGCAAGGAGTTGTCAGCCCTGTTCTGGATGGAAGTCCAGCAGGTGGGTGTTGGGAATCAGCTGACCCAACTGGACAGCATCTAGTGATTGGGTCTGATTCCAGGCTACATGATATAAATGAAGGCCCACGGTGCATGAAGGAGCCTGCAACCAAAAGAGAGCTGAGAGTACGCTCTCCTGTGGCTAGAACAGAATGCTGTAAGAGGACAAGCAGGCCCTATCTATGGCTACAGGAGGCTAGAGGGCCCTCACAATCTCAGTTGAGAAGAGGACTATAGCTTTTGTTGTTGTTTCATGTTTCCTTTTGCTAGATATTGCCTGTTCTAAGAGTATGTCTACACTGCAACTGGGAGTGTGCTTCCCAGCTTGAGTAGACAGACATATGTTAGCTCTGCTCAACCTAGCATGCTAAAAGCAGCAGAGTAGCACAGGCAGGGGCTTGCGCTAGCTGCCCAAGTACATAGCCAGGGTGGCCAGGCAGGTTTGTATTCGGCTGGTTAGCCCAAGCTGCTGCCTGTGCTACCCCTGGTTATGCTGCTACTTTTAGCCCACTAGATTTAGCAGAGCTAGCATTTGTCTGTCTACTTGAGCTGGGAAGCTCTCTCCCAGCTGCAGTGTAGAGGTACCCTTAGTCAAACAATGTGTGATACTACATACCAATCATCTGATGGATGCAGTGCTTAATTTGTGCCAGGGCTCAGCCCTGACACATCTAGGCTTGGCAGTTCATAGCTCTGGGCTTGCTGCATCAGTTATGAATGTAAAACAATTGCTTGAGCCACGGCACCTCGTTCATTACAAATTAAGCACTGGATGGATGGCAGTGTGTGTGTCATTGGTGTTACAGGAATTACATAATGAGCAAATACTCAACTGTGAGTTGCAGTAGATTGAGTGCTTAATCCAGCATAATATATCCACAGAAAACTGAACTAGTCAGCAGAAAAACTGGCTAATTGTAGATACCTTACTTTAAACTCCCCCAATCCTTCTACTTTCCCCTAAAACAAACACACTCTTGCAGTGAGCAAAAATCAGATGTCACAAAAAATCTACTGCCAGCTAGGAAAAAGAAAACCACATTGCATTGCTATATCATCAGATCTCTCTCTATCAGGGGAGAATAGTCTATGGGTGTGCCATTTCAAGAATAATTAAGGATAACCCAGAAAAAACTTTACAGATATTTTACCATTAGGATTTCAGTTGCCCTCACCACATATTAAATAACTAACCTTTGTTTGGTTTGACAAAGAAGGTGAGTTGTCCCCCTTTAATTGCAAGGGTGACTTTTCCACCTGCTCAAAGGAAAGGGGTCATTGCCCTTTTAAAGCCTGCCCCTGCCCCCAAGATTACCTGTTCCACATAAAAAGTAGGGAGCAGTCAGCCAGACCAGGTCAGCAAACATCTTGCCCTCTCTCCCACAGGTGATCGGATGGGGTCCAGACCTCTTTTACCTGAAGCAGGTGAGCAGCACCCAACCTCGCACTCATGTAAGTAGTTAAAATACTCATGTTCTGTTGCTGTCATTATCCTAGATGCTTCTTTCTCAAGGGGGCTGGGAAGGAATTTTTCCCTCACCACCAGATTGGGCTAGGCAAGATGTGGGTTTGGTTTTTTGTTTTTGTTTTTTTTGTGTGGGGGAAGGGTGGCCTTCCCTACTGCAGGTTAGGGGTCTATTAAGTTATGAAATGAAATGGGCATTAGGCTATACTGTCACAATTCATCATGTAAGCTTGTGGCAAATGTCCTGTGCAGATATTCTGCAGGGAATGGACATGGTGATCAGATGAAATGGACTGGTAAAGGATTTAA